GTTGAAATTCTGATATAAAAACAGACCATTTGTAAAGACATACGTTTCTGCATTCTGTCATGCAAGATGATTGGGCTTTCTAAAATCAAATTCCTATGGAACATTAAAAAATAGGATTTAAAGAAAATCCTTCTAACTGAATAAAGCTGGTCAAAAGGAATATATCTCTTTTTAACAGGTTTATGAGAATATAATTTTCATTTGAAAAATATTAATGACTATATTTAGGGTAGTTATTTATTTGTTTTTCAAGCAGAGCCCTAGAGCTGGGATTCCAACATAATTTAAATTCATGGCTTCAGATGTTCATGTGTATGTATTTGATCATGCCTCTATTTTCATATGAGAAGGCAGTCTGACTTTCCTCAATATGCCATATTTGTCTCTATACACCCCAGTTTCTGTTATAGTGCCTTGCACATATTAGCATTCAGGAAATTTCAAATAAATATCTAACTGAGTAAATAAAGTATAGTTAATTAAAGATAGAAGAAATTTTAGGATTTGGATGGCTATCTGTTGTTAGTAAAGAAATTTCCCAATATATAACAAAGAGAAATTTCAGAGTCTAAAGACCTTTGCCCTTCTATTAAAAGCTGCTATGTAATTATCTTTTCAACTTTCCTACAATGAGAAAATTAGCATTTGAAACATAAGTAGTTTCAAACATATGCTTTCATTATAAGTATAACAAGCATGACTTTTCATCTTCATGATGGCAGAGAGCCACAGTTACTTCCAAACAGAAACATAAGTTTTCACTCTTAAGCATGGTTCATTAGAAATCATCTCTATATTTCTAGCACCAGGCGAACATAGAATGCTAGGTTGGACTTTAGAGATTATCCACTCCAATCTCATTATATAGATTAGTGTGGATGAAAAAGAGGCCACGTGCTAACCTGACCAGCTCAGGGAAGGCCTGCATGGCAATCTTGCAAACTCAAAGACCTAAAGTAACAAAGGGTGGTCTGAAAATAAAAACCTTTAATTAAAAAGCACTTATACTGGCTAGTCATGTCCTAGGCCAGTATCTCCCTTGACAAAGATGAACTTTGATCTTTACCTATTGTCTTTTTGTATCTAAGATAACATACCTGTGAAAAGTCAGGGTAATTTGCAGCTTCCCCTTTTCCAGACCCCTCAGGGCACAACCAAATGCACCTGGGCACCAGGACAGATACCACAAATTCCTACAGTTATTGTCATCATGCTAATAGTTGAGTG